TTTTATGAAGTTCGGTTTAAACTTGTAATATTGAAATTTAAATATGTTTTTTTTTTTAATGTTCATATCTAGTAATGCAATTTTTATCAAGCACAAAATTAAAACATTACTTAATCAATTAGTTCGTGCAGAAGATTTTTAATAATATGCGCATAAAAATTCACAATGATATTCTTCCAATATTTCATTAAAATTGAATTCCTGACTTCACAAATTATGCTATCTAGAGAATAGGTTTTCAAACTTTCGTGAGTCATAAATCCCTTGTCTTCTTATTAACCCGATATCGATTTTGTTTAATAGATTTATAACTATAACTATTAAAGTTTATTATTAAATATTTTACGTATTATTTGAATTTGAAATTTTTAAACAATTCTGCACGTTTTTACTTATTTCTTCTGGCTATTGGTATGTAGTCTTCTTTTTTTGTTAGACATCATTATTTCAAAACTATTATCTATTTATTATCTACTTTTGATCTTTACTATCTAGAAATACTATGAAAGTCTCACTAAGAGCAAAAAAAAGTGCGCGTAAGGATCACACGCGATTAAGTAAAAATTTAAGTTAAGTAAAAATAATACAGTAGATATACGATTTTCATTTAGATTGATATGTGTAGCTGTAGACATACGTATATCATATATCAGCGCAAACTATCACCTACTGTATTACTAACTAATATCAAAATTAACTGCAGATTCCTCCAAGTCTATTAGCTTTTGTATTAATTACAATAATATTTCGATATAAATTATCTCTATCTTTCTGCTGGTTGCTTATTTAGATCGGTACGGTACTATCTCACGCTGAGAATTGAATTTGAGATGACTTAATTATGATAAGAATAATTAATTTAGATTATGTAGTATGGGACTGAATTCCAGGTTGCAAATTAAAATATTTCTCCTTATTGTGCTTGGCGTTTCGTAATATTGTCAAAGTTAAAATATTTCGCATTTTTGTGAAGTTCAGTTTTTAATTTTGAACAGAAATTTTGTCTATCAAGCTTCTTGATTTGTTTATTAGATTGTAATTAGGTACTATATTCAAATGTCAATAATATTTCAAAAAGTCAATCTTTATAATATATTATGGTATTTTTTGTGAAGCTATAAACAAAATTTTGACTTTAGTACAAATGAATTTACGAAATTTTTATAAGAAGGCTAACTTCAATCATGTTTCAACTATTAGATTAAAAGCTTTGAAATTTTATTATAAAATATTATAGTAATAATAAAATTTTAATTCGAATGAAGTAGAACGGTTATACAAATGATGAGTTTTTAAAACATTTTTTTATATTTTAAATATTTAACATTTTTATATGTTTGAAATATTTATATAAATTGCTAAAATTAAACCTTGAAAATTAAAAACTAGTCATTTTGAAAACTATTATTTCACAATTAATTATTTTTTAGAAAAAGTGCGATGTAACAATTTACTCTGTATTTTGAGCTGGTTTTTCTACCAACCACCAAAATACAATAATGCGTCTGATAATTCTTTACTTAAGAATATCGCCTTGTTTCTAAGTAATTATTTTCGTACATCAATGCAAGCTATAATTAATACAAATAAAACATAGTGTTCTGTCATATAATTTGTTATCATAAGTCAACGTGAACTAAAATTCTATATCCAATTTTTTAGCCCCAAGGCTTTGTTTCAAGTAACATCAGGTGTAATTATCTTAAATTATTAACAGACAACTATCTAAACAATTTACCAATCACAATAATTGTAACACATTATCAAAGAGTGAAATGAGATATATAAAATTTAAAGTGAGTTGATAATAATAATGTAATGCCTATTGAAAAACGTCTGTTACTACTTTTTGCTACAATAAGCCCATTGCTATCCTTCTAGTTACATGTTCTATAAAAGTATTCTCACATATATTTCATATTGATAAATTTTGGATCTTCTATGCAAAAATTCTATCAGAATTATTTTTTAAAATATAATTTAATCAGCAGGAAAACAGATATGTGTTATGTTACTTTTGAGAAAGGTTTTCATTAACAGTCCATAACCTCTGACATTCAACTAAAATACGCGTGGGTTGTATATGGGTGTGCAAGAAAGAAAATATTAATCATTTCTTATAAATTAATTAATGTTTTATTATATACTTAATTACCTTGGATATGATATTTTTAAAAATAACATAGCAATTTGTGTAAATTAGCGCAAGTAATTAAACTTAAAATACATTTTATTAATCATTATATAATAATGAAACATCAAACCGTAAATAGACTTTGTAAGCTTAATATTACATCTCTTCAATGTTCTTTATTAAAAAATATATAAATATAACGGTGTTAAATGCGTTTCACTTTCCCGTTGGGAATCTTTATTATTATTTTGTGAAAGTTCATTTAATATCATTTCACATCACAAATTGTAACAGCTATTCTACTTCAATTTCTACTAATGATTTACTCTTGTTATTAATATATTATTATGATAATTAACATCATTAGAGAGAGTGTTAAACTAGTTTCATTTCAAGAAATGGAAATGTATTGAATTTTTTTTGCAAATAATGCGAATTTATATTGACTAATGTGATTGATGAAAATAATAGCAACTGTAAATTTTCTAAATCGATGTACCACATATAATTGATAAAAAATAAAAAAAAGTGTTACATCAAGTAATTTAATTTTTTTATCAAGCAAAACCAGCTATTTTTCATATATTACGAAATTATGTAGGTATAAGTACTTTAATGTTGCATAGATGTTAAAATGTGATATAAAAAGGAAAAATGATTTGCAGTATTAAGACAATTTAACATTTATTACTCCAAGTTAATATTGAATATTTATAAAACCAAATACGAATATTTATAAAAAGACTTGAATTGCTTGGATACAATGTTTTTTTAAGTTTAACTTAAATTTTTCATTTCAACCATCAAAAAACTAGCAAATAATCTTAAAAAAGAATACTATTATTTACACAGTTTCTATTTATAATATTTGAAAAACACTAAACGAACACTTTCAATTTTATGTAAATATATTATAATACCATATAATACTAGTACCATGTACAATACCAATATAAATACATTATAATGACGTTTATAATACAAATACCATTTATCATAGAAACTAAAAAGACACAATCCTATAGAGACTGATTTCAGAAAAACATTTGAATTATCTAAATTACGGGGATAATTCTGCCGTAAAATAGACCAAAATGTTATGCAATGTTATCTGTTTATTTAAGATGGTACTAATAACTGTCAAAATGCTATGTATTTAAATGTAACTTCACTCATATGTTATTAAGACACATGGGAAAGGTGCGATTTTTTTTTACCTTTGAGTGATTTCTAGTTTAGGCTTTATATTTAAACGCTTGACAGCACAACAACCACCCAGTATTTTGACAATTTTTGGTATCATTTTATATGAAAAATGACACGTAACCCAGCCTTACTATAACATTGCCCTTAAATCTCAAAATTCGTTTATTCGAACAAGCTTCAAACATAAATATGTCTATTATATGGCATAACTATGTTCCAAATTATGCAGATATTGCAAATGCTAATTAGCTGGTTCAAAATTATTTGTCTGTACTTGAGTTATGGGTTTCAAAATGCAATATCAAAATCAATATTTACTAATCTCATTACCTAAAATTGTTAGGCTAAAACATCATAACAATCCACCTCTTCAGCTTAATAACTCAATAATATCTATCTGCATTTGTATTAAATGGGAGTCACGGATACATGAACAACTGGAAGAGCAAATAAGATCAATATTGATTTATCGAGAGAAAATCCAATATTGTTCTTTATGGTAAAGTAAATTTGTGACACCTTTGCACCATTAATATAATTCAAAGATCATTTAATTTAACATCGAAAGCTTCTATAAAAACTTCCAAGTTTAAACTTTAGTTGATTACGTATATTAAAACAAAAACTAATCTTATAGAAATGATTTCCAAAAAAATCGAACCAAATCTGCCAAGTCGATTCATTCTACTGCGAGACAACAAGAATATTACACATTTCATTGTTAAAAATATTTATATTTTTATAAAAATGAAAATAAAAACCGATAATGATGTAAAATAAAACTTTCTCACACCATGAAAATTACATCTACTTTACACTGACTTTGATCTGAGTTTTATCCTCTTCCCACCATTTAACTCGATAATTATATGCTTTATATAAATTGTGTACATTATAATACTATCAAAATTATATCTTTATTAGCAGTTCACTAACGTTTGAATAAGACTTCTTTCTAATATGTCAAACCATAAAAATGATATGAAATTCATTTTTCATGTAATTATATTTTAAATTGATGACTTTGGTCCCTGGAGGGTTTCATATAGGTACTAGTTGAAGTAAAATATATATGACGATATAATGTTGCTATGCGAACAATTTCTTTATACTTCTGTTAGTAAATAGTGACCAATAGACTTGGAAAGCAATGCAAACAATTTACTGTGTGTTTGTAAATAATTTTGCTCTCGCTTTGAAATTAAACATAATATTTTCAATGTGCTTAGAATGAATTTACGGTTTAATTATAACTGCATTTACATCGACTTCATGATATTTTAAATTTTGCTATCATTATTATTTTTCCTAAAAATTCAAAATCTCTATGAGTTTACATATGAATGGTTGCTCCTGTATCGAATGAAGAAATCAAACAAAATATCTTACTTTTGACTCTTTAAAAGCAATGCGGTCTACGGATCATGTTATTGTCTCAATGCAATAATGTAAACTTGTTCGTAAAAACATACTTTACCTTTCTTTCTTTTGGGTCCTATCTTAAATTATGTTTTTTACTCTTCTTGACAACCATGTCATTAACTTCCCGAAGGAGAAGCTTATGTTTTCATAAAAAAATCCGAATTGCCAATTTTATGTTTTCTCGACGTTTCAAGCCATTCTAAATCGAATGAGACCAAATTTGGAAAAAGTATGTGTATGTGTGTATGTGCGTGTATGTGAACAGATTTTTTGTCGTAAATCGTCTTTTTCTCAAAAACGGTTGGACCGATTTCAAAAATTTAAAAGCCATTTGATGTATTTCGATGAGGGCTAGCGTTTCCCAGTTTTGTGTGACGATCGGCCAAGCCGTTTCTTTGTAAATCGCAGAAAAGTGAAAAATTTTTAGTCCACGTTTTAGTCCGCAATTCTTAATCGATTTTGAAAATTCAAAAACCGTTCGAAAGATATTGGTTGGGAATCGTGCTGATTAGTTTTTGGTAAACATCGGCCGGGCCGTTTTCTTGTAATAAAGTTTAAAAAAAAATCGGCGATTTTTATTATTATTATTTTGACAGTAGATACCATAGTCTTCTAGATCATACTAAAATATTACGGCCCTACGACAACTCGTTTAGCTTTAAAAATTCATCAAAGTTTGCAAAAATTAGTATCGTTCTTTTGGCATTTGTCAAAATTAGACCTTTGATCAACGTTTTCTCAGAAACGCCTGAACCGATTTCAGAAATTTAAAAGCCATTTGATGTATCTCAATGAGGACTATCGTTTGTCAGTTACGTGAGACGATCTGCCACATTTAAGCTCAAACTACCGAATCGATTTTAAAAAATCAAAAACTGTTCGAAAGATATTCGTTGGGAATGCTACTGATTAGTTTTAGGTGAAAATCTACCGAGCCGTCTTTTTGTAATTAACTGTTGAAAAAAAAATTTAAGCCCATTTTTTATGGTATTTTTTTGGCGATATATATCAGGGTCTTATAAAACTTACTGAAATATTACGGCCTTACGACAAGTAGTATAATTTTAAAAATTTATCATAGTTTGAGAAATAATTTTGACATTTTTTATTATTACAATTAGAGGATTTACTTGGTATAACGATGATAGTACTGGGTCTTAATGAACATACTAAACAATTAAAGTCTTACAAAAAACTGGCTCTATTATAAAAACGATTGATTTTTGAAAATTTGTTTTTAGAAAATACTCAAATACTCAAAGTGTTCGTTCGTTTTCAATTTTGTGTAATAAATCCACTCGGAATACTTTTAATGACTCATAAATTAATTTATTTTTTATTGATTAAGTAAACATATCGGAAAGTTCATGTAACTTGCCTCAAGGCTACATACCAAACCAACTAGTTTATAAATCTATCGAAAATTGTATTGACATGATTATTGAATTAAGCAAATTATATTCTTGTAGATCTCAGTTAGTATTACAGTTAAAATTTCTCAGTTAGTCTTACAGGAAATTGATCTATATTATAATAAACCAGTCATTTTTCAATTACAGCGAAAAAAAACAAATCATATTTGTGAAAAATATATACATAATGAAAATATTATATCATTATTAAAATTATCATTTGATCTTTATTCTATTTTTTATTGTTTTAGAGCCACTAATTTCATACTAGTGTGTATTTACTTATAAATGCTGTAAATAAAAAATATTGTGGCATTATAGAAACATGTACATAGATAAATTTGAAACAGAAAAAGACAAAATATTAAATATATTACGTTTAAAATTTCTTATCAGGATTTAGTGCGTTACTTGTACTGTTTAAATCCCTCTTCAACGTGATAAAGGGCCGTAAAAAAATGTTGGAGCATTTATAGAAATTACTTTTTACCATTTATGCTTTACTGCCTATTAGCTTTATTGTGCGCACGCACCTTACTATTTATTATCACGAAATATTTCTTTTGTTACTTTTGATATCATGCTTAGTTACATTTTCGTTAAAGTCTTTTTCAAATGGTTAATTTCTTAAGTAGAAAGATTACGTCGAGACTTGTACCTAACGAAGGGTATTTTTGTCTGCGGACGTTGTTCTTTTCTAGAAACTAAATCAAAGCGCTATATTGTTGAAACAGTCACAATGACCGCAGTTACCGAGAGGCGAATAGTCCGAGAGGCCTCCGCAGATGCAGGCAATAGGAACTCTACCGCTGCTGCTGGGGCTGATGTTACGGATTCGTCCACGATGAATTCATCAGGAGCGGCGAATGTTACATCGAACGTGGATGCAGTGGCTGCTTCGTTGAATGGAATATTGAAAGGTGGAAGGCTGTGGAAAAGCACCAGCGATTTACCACAGGTATGTTTATATAATAATATAATTACATATATATATATATATATATATATATATATATATATGTGTGTGTGTGTGTGTATGTATCATATATATGTATCATAATTTGTTATATAGTATCTACCAGTAAAAAATATATTTGATTGATTTCGGAGCTGATTCGAAATACGGAGAAAAACTTCTTACAAGATAACCATCAGGTTTACTCTTCTGGGATTTTGATGAAACTTCGCATAGTTGTAGAGTTGGTTGTCAAACCGAACACCTTTAAATATTAGAGTCCCTAGAAGCAGTTTAATTAAAAAAATTAAATAAAAATTGATTAAAACTGCGAATAATGCGCTAGGCCCTATATCTCCGCGCGTTGCGCTTCATATCTATGTGCCGAGATAGCCGAGTGGTTGCGGCGCTTATTCTCAACTTTTTGTTCGAGGCCTAGGCTCATAGTCGCCAGTTCGAATTCCGCCAGAATATTTTTTTTATTTATTTTTACATCTATTTGGTTAAATATTATAATAATAATTATTAATTTGTTACATGTACTACACAAATATGTGAAATTTATAAATAGTAGATATTTATGAAAGCATTCTGAAAATAAATATATTTGCAATGCATATTGATAAAATAAAATAAAATAAAATATTTTTTATAAATGATATCTGTTTAAATTAATCTATCAAAATATCAAACATAAATAAATAATAATATAAAATAAAAACTTCAAGGCTTATAATTTGCTGGATGATATTTATCATAAAAGCATGAAAAAAATAAAAATGTATTGCAGTAAGCACACTTTAAAAATGCTGCTGTGTTACATAGACATTTGGCTGTTGTGTTACATAGACATTTGGGAAAGTAAGCGCGGCAACCACTCGGCTATCTCGACACATTTTTATTTAATTTCTTTTAATTAAACCACTTCTCATAGGACTCTAATATTTAAAGGTGTTCGGTTTGACAGCCAACTCTACAACTATGCTAAGTTTCATCAAAATCCCAGAAGAGTAAACCTGATGGTTATCTTGTTAGAATGATAACCGATTAAAGCTTTTATATGAAAAAATACGTTTCAATATTGCGCTTTGAAAAATCTATATTTTTATTTATTTTATCGTATTTTTATTATAGATTTGTCATTTTTTAACTTTTTGTGGTGATGAAAAAAAAATAAAAGCGTTTTTTTAAAAAAATTCAAAATTTACTCCACTATTTTTTAAAACAAAAAAATATATATAAAAACTCTTAAATAAATTATATATATTATATATGTTCAAAAAATTGATATAGATTGAAAGCATATAAAAAATGTCGCATATTATTCGCTAAATTAACTACAACTACCAAATATTAATGCTTCATATATTAATTGCTTTTTGAAAGCAGTTGAATAAGTGTATCATAAAGTAGCCTCTCCATTTTATTTCTTTTAAATGTAAGATGACCATACGTCTCGGTTTGGCTGGTACAGTCCCAGATTGCTACCTTGTATCCCGGGTTTGTCTAAAAATAATATTTGTCCCGAATTTAAATCTTTCTTTCCGGTTATTTCGAAAACTAATAGGCAAATTAACAAAAATTGTAAAAAAATGAACAAATATTATTTTTGTCAAATTAATTATGAAGAAAATTGGATAGATTTTTATACAAGGATCAAAAGCGAAGAAAACATTTAGATTGAAAAATATAAGGTATAATATAATATCATATATAAAGAAATATTCCATTTAATAGAATAATAAAGTTCTCACTAAAAGTCCGCAATTCTCATTAAAAAAATATTAATATAGGAAAACTGTTTTTTTATTATATCCTTAAATAGCATTTGTTATTACCTTAACTAAAACACCATCAGTCACGGATTTTCATAATTAAAAATTGCTGTCCCGGTTTCAATTTAAAAAATATGGTCACCTATTAAATAGCGTGATCTAATAAATTTATCATGATTCCATAAATTTAAATTGGAAAATAACTTAATTAAAAAAAAGATTTCATATACATGTAGTATAGGGTAGCACAATCATTAAAATTTTGTTCAATTTTTCAATATAATATGAAAATATATGAGTTGATCAGGTTTAAAATATTATCTCTTCATTTTATATAATATAATATAACATCCAGAATGTAATTTTGATGATCATTTATTCATTAAAAAAATACAATTATAAACACACACATAAATTTTATTATACATAATAATTATTTTAGAACAAAATATGAAAACAATACATACGTAAAATAATATTATATCGAGAATATCGTTCATATTATTGTTTATCTTCATCATAAATCTTAATACGTAATATAATACGCATTAGTATAAATTCATTAAAATATTCTCTTCATAATTTAATTCATGGATGCGAATTAAATATTCTAAAACTTTGTTATCAAATTATATTATTAATAAGTCAAATTAGCCAAATCAAAGAAAGTTTATTCAAAACTCAATTCAATGTAAGTGTGTGTGATGATCGTGTATGTACGTAATATAATCATTTTAAATGAAGATATATTTTATCCTGATTCTACTATTCGGAGATTTTATGGAGAGCTAAAAAAATATGGTCACCTATTAAATAGTGTGATTCACACTATTTAATAGGTGACGCTTTATATTATCACACTGTGTGATCTATTAAATTTATCATGATTCCATAAATTTGAATTTAAAAATAACTTTATTTAAAAAAATGTTTTTACATACATGTTGTATAGGATATCACAATAATTAAAATATTGGATAATTTGTCAATATAAAATGAAAATATATGAGTTGCATATTTATGATCAGATTTAAAATATGATCTTTTCATTTTATTCAGAAAACATTCAGTATAAAATTTTGATGCTTATTTATTCATTTAAAAAAATACAATTATAAACATACATATAAATATTATTATACATAATAATTATTTTAGAACAAAATATGAAAACAATACATACATAAAATAATATTATATCGGAAATATCGCTCAGATTATTGTTTATCTTCATCATAATTCATCATACCTAATATAATACGTATTTGTATAAATTCATTAAAATATTATGTTCTTAATATTAATTCATGAATGCAAATTATATATTCTAAAATAAAAACTTTGTTATCAAATTATATTATTAATCAAGTCAAATTAGCCAAATCAAAGAAAGTTTATTCAAAATTCAATTCAATGTAATTGTGTGTGTATGTGCAATGTCATTATTTTAAATACTGATATATTTTATCTTGAATCTAAAATTTGAAAATTTTATGGAAGGTTATTTATATAATAGATCATAAAAAATAAATGCTATTATTAACTTCCCGTAGGGTAAGTTATTGTAATGGGCCGAAAATCGGAATTGAAAATTTTTACATTTCTCGACATTTTGAAGGTTTCTGAACGTTTTGGCATACCTCAGAAAAAATGGATGTGTGTGTGTGTGTGTGTGTATGTATGTATGGATACAAATTTCCAGTCACGTTTTAGGACGCACGGATCAACCGATTTGAATGGTTCAAAAAACATTCGATTCCTATTGATAGGGAAAAGAGCTGATTAGTTTTTGGCAAAGGCAGGTCCAGCCGGTTCGGAGATACGGAGCAAAGAGTGCAGAAAATAGAAATCGAATTTTTGAGAGAACGGAGTATCCGATTTGAATGATCTAAAAAACATTCAATTAGTAACGATTGGGAGAAGTGTTTATTAGTTTTTGGCAAAAGCAGGCCCAGCCATTTCAAAGATACGGAGCTAAATATGTAAAAAATTGCAGTTTTTGAGAGAACTAAGCGTCCGATTTAAATGATTCAAAGAACTTTCAGCTTGTCTTAACAAAATAATTGATTTTGGAAAAAAAAAATTTTGTCCCATTTTTTTTTTTTTTTTAGTTTTTTGTATATCGAAAATATTTCAGATTTTATTTTATTATTTATATTATATATCAGTATTCAACGGGAAGTTCCAGCAATTTGCCTTAAGACACGATGCCATAATTGCCTCAAGACAGAATTCCACTTACAGCTAGTTAAAATTTGTATTGTATTGATAAAGTAATTTAACATTGTAAAATTTATTTTAGTTTGCTTCTAATATTTATACAATGTAATGCATAATAACAAATATTAGTAGTTTATTCATCATTGTTTAGCCATAAATTGTCTCTGAAGCAATGAAATATTAAGTATACACAAACATTTTCATGAAAAAAATTACTTATTTATTTACTTATTGGTTCATTTGTTTAGAGTCGCCTTAAAAGTAACCGAACTTATACATCAATACTATAGTAATGCGTTATTTCATTAGAAATTTCTCAGATAATTTTATGTTTTTATTTATATAATTATATGTTTTATGTAATTCAGGAGGATGCTACTAGTTTTTGTTCCGATGACGATAATGCAAGTCGTAGATCAGTTCGATTTTTCGAAGAAAATGACAATACCCTCCATGGAACATCCGAGGACCGCGATGACGAGACTTCATCGAACCTGAACGACAACCAGGTTGAAGAAGAAAGGACGGCAGAAGAATCATCTGTTGATAACGCACTTGGAAATTACCGTTTAGTCGGAGGTGGCAGTACTTTATATACGACATCAAATATTTTAAGGCCAAATTCGGCTGTAAGACAGCTATTTCCAGTGGTGGATGAACAAACTCAACAATCCAGGTGTGTATTGTTAAAATGTTAAATTAATATAAATAATAATAATTATTATTATTATAGACAACAGGCACGTTCTTGCCTTGTTTCTAACTTAATTTTCATTACATTTTTTTTTCGTGTCATGATTTTCAGTTTTCATCTTCTTATGTTTTCTCATGTCAGACTATCAGTATTTCTACGTTGATAGATAGAAGACAGACTGATGAAAACTACACTCTATAAGTAATTAAGTTGATCAAATGTTTTTTTATACCATGCTATCAATAATTATGTAGTTCAATTTACAAATATTCAATTTACTACATTTCATTTGTTTCCCCTTTTGTCTTTAGTGTTTTTTATTATATTAGCTCTACGCTACTGAGGGTATACTAATTTGTAAACAATTAATTGTAAACAACTCGTAAGCATTCTCTGCTAAATACAAATATATATAGATTGCAGAATAAAATTAAAGTTTAAAAAATTACAAATTTTATTACCCTCTATATGTTTCTCGCGCAACCAACAAATATCTAAAAAATGATAGTATCATTTCCATATTTGTTTAATATATTTTCTTATAGACAATACTCTAAAGAAACTTGGTAGAAATATAAAGTGCTAGTTTTCAATGTACATAAATGGAAATTTAGCACATATTACTAAATCTGGCAGTAATTGTGGGCAAATTAATAGCTGTAATTGTCGTGACTTTCACCCATTTTTTGAGAACTCAAACTATTTGAAGCGTTTCATAGACTGCATTCGAACTTATAAGCAACTGTGTAAAATTTTGCATCATTGTTTCAACTAAGCCATATTATATTTTTTCAAACCTTTACCTACATTTACCGTTTACCTAACTTTCCGTAGAGTAAGTTATAGTAATCGCAAAAAAATAAAAAATGAAAATTTTTATATATTTTTACGTTTTTGAATATTTTGGCATACCTTAAAAAAATGTATATATGTGTATGTGTGTGCGGATACAAATTTTCGTCGAAGATTTCGGGAACACGGATCAACCGATTTGAATAATTCGATTCGGTTTGTATTGATAAGGAGACGTGCTGTTTAGTTTTTGGTGAAGGCAGGTCTAGCCGTTCCGAAGATACGGGGCAAAAAGTGCCGAAAACGGTAACTCAGTTTTTAAGAGAACGGAGCGTCCGATTTTAATCATTCAAAAAACATTTTACTTGTATTGACAAGATGAAGAATTGATCAAATTTTCATAAAGGCAGGTCTAGCGGTTTCAAAGATCTAATAAAAAAAAAGTAAAAAAATGCCATTTGGCGGTGAAAAATGATCATTAGACATATGCACATCAAATTTTTGTCATTTTTTCTCTATGCAGTTAAAGCAGTACGATTGCAGATTGCAGAATTTCCAAAATATGTCAAAATAAAGAAATCATTTTTTTTCAAAGACATTTTTTTCAAAAAAAGTAAGTTTTTGTCAAATTCCTAGTTTCTCAAAAATCTAATTTTTTCGAAGTCAATTTTTTTCAAAATGTTAATCGTTTTTAAAAAAATAATAATATTTGGTACGGGAATTTCCAGCAATTTGCCTTAAGCTAGATGCCATGCGCTCCACTAGTTTTTCCTCAATTTGCTTTAAGGTACGATACCATTCACCACTAATTATTATTATGCATAGCTTACAAGGTTGAAACATTTGCATAGTGTTAAATAAAAAAACACTATCCTCCAATACGTTGAACAACTGAAGTTAAGGTTTGATTTAAAACCCAAAATTATTGTTCAGAAAACATAATCTACAGAATATTTCTGTCCATTGACATGCATTCTCTATTTTTTTCTTTTAAACTGACTGTAATTAACCTTCCCAGGTATCTGGTTACTTCTGATAACCTTCGAGCGTTCGACGAATCAAAGAGAACCAGACCGCTGGCTCCCGTTAATAAAGAGACTGATGAGGAGGCGGCGATCAGGAGAACTATCGAACGGAACGCTTTGAGGAGGTCGCTCATCAAGTACGAACCGAAGCGAAAACAACAAAAGCAACCTGAAACCACCAGCTTGGAGGAGAGGATCAGACAGCTGACCTGTGTCGAGGACGACATTGAAGATGAGGTATGAAGTTTATCAATTTGTAATAGTACTTTCAAATGTAGTTACTACACTTTTATTCATAAGATTAATTTTATTTACGAATCTTTTTTAAATAGCAAATATACATGTTCTTACAAAAATTTAAATTACAAGTATGTTCTAATTGAGTATGATAATATAAGTGAGTTAGTGGCTTGTTCTAACAGTTTTTATCTTATATATAAAAATAAGTCGCAAAATGTGTTGGTAAGCGCTTAACTCAACAACGCCTGGACCAATTTGGCCAATTCTATTTTTTAAATGTTTATTGTAGTCCAAGGACGGTTCTTACGACGAGAAAAATCGAATAATAGCCGGGAAAGCCCTAAAAACAGCCCTTTTCTTTTTCTCATACAAACGTTTCCTAACTAAAACGTAGAATCAATTTGAGCTTTATTGCTATTATATAAAGTTCATATTAAATTACAAGCATTCATTGTATACTCCTTCTAAACGATTATTCGGATTTTGATAATTTTTTCTGAAGTTTGTTAAGGACATTTTCTAGGATGTATGTGATTATAAAGTATTGGGATGTATGTGCGATATTGTAGAAATAAATAGAAAAAATGGCAAAAAACGACATGTCATTGTTTGCATTGAAAACAAATGAAAACTATCATCAGCCAAAAATTTCAATTTACTTATGAACCTAGACAATATTAGAATATGTATAATAAATTTATGATTATGAATAAGAAAAATGAAATGTCTTCATTATTTTTACCAAAAAGCAGCTGAGATATGCCAGAAATTAATATAATATACAATACAGTATATGTATGGCATATTGAATAATACATATATGACAAATTAATTTACTTAAAATATAAAATTAAGTATTAATCAGGTCCGGTCCTACCTTTAATGCGATGCATGCGAAAAATACGAGCGCACGCCTAATCTTGCCACAATATTTTTAAAATTCGTAAAAATTTCACTTTATAACAACAAATGGGAAAGTAAAGATGAATACATACAATTCGGCCCTCACGATATCGATAAGGAGAAGTTTAAGATGCAATTTTGGATATCTTAAATAATAAAAAATTAAATTAATTCAATCCAACATGAAGTACTAGTGTTATGTTATGGTTATAGTTATGTTATACCGTTTAAAAGACTTCAACTTCCAATATAGTGTGGGAATTGAGACTCATCATTTTATTTAAAGCAGTTCTACATTTAACATTGCTCATATTATAAGTGGCGTAAAGAGTTATTTAAAAAGCAATATTTATTATTTTTGGGAAAATATTAGTAAAAAATATTTAAAAATTGTAGACGTGGGTACAGGACAATGTCTGTCGGGTCATCTAGTTAGTTAATAAATCTTGAGATCCACTGATTATATTTTTACGAAATAAAGATGTAGTATATCTAATTGTACCGTGTAAAAATAGTTTCACAACTGTTGTTTATTACTTCACAATTAATCAATTCCTAGAACAAGTGCTATATTACAATTTATTCCGCGTTTGGGGCTAGTTGTAACATCTATCGAACCAAGTATTCGATAAAGAATATTCATTTTTAACAAAATTGACTTGTTTCTAAGTAATTAATTTCATTTATCTACGCAAACTATAATTAATACAAAAATATATTATGTCTCTTTTAATATAAATGTTTATAATGAATCAACGTAAACTACATTTTTTAACATAATAAGAATAAAAAATATAGTGTCTCCCGTAACAAGTTACATTTTCTCACATCTGACTGACTGTACATTCCCTCCGATCTTCTTCACTTGAGTTTGTGTATAATTTTTGTATGTTATAATTAGCCCTGAAAGGTTGGTTTCAACTAAACCCAGGTGTAATTTTTTTACCTTCTTCAAGATATATATTTGATAAATTTGAAAAGAAATAATACAAAATTTGAAATTATTTGACAATAATAACGCAAACCGTTATTACCGATCTCTACCAAAAACTAATCAGCACGATTCCCAACCAATATCTTTCGAACGGTTTTTGAATTTTCAAAATCGATTCAGAATTGCGGGCTAAAACGTAGCCGAAAAATTTTTCACTTTTCTGCGATTTATAAAGAAACGGCTTAGCCGATCGTCGAGATACGATTCTAACAAACAATAGTTCTCGTCGAGATACATCGAATGGCTTTTAAATTTTTGAAATCGGCCCAGCCGTTTTCGAGAAAACGTCGATTTACGGCAAAAAATCTGTTCACACACACACACATATATACTTTTTCCAAATTTGGTCTCAGTCGATTCAGAATGGCCTGAAACGTCGAGAAAACATAAAATTAGCGAATCCGATTTTTTGATGAAAACATAAACTTCTCCTTCGGGAAGTTAATAAAATTAAATGAATTTCCATAAACTCCTCCTTTCCATATTTTAAAATATTCATTATCGTATTGTAAGAATACGTTGATTATAATTAGATAAGTATGAAAGTATATTAAAAAATATATTTGTCATCGACATTTCACGAAGCAGGAGACATTCTATATCATTGAAACGGTCAATAAAATAAATGAAAAATAACGCAAATAATTTTTGAATACAAATGAGGTTTTTAGCTGAGTTTCGATGTATTTATATAATCAAATAAAAATTCATTTTGTTGTTTCTGTTATTTCAAATTTAAATTCATGGAGAATAAAATATGTATCAGAACCCATTAATTACAATCATAGCTATTTATAGATAGAAAATATGCCAACACATTTAGCGTTTCTCTTTCAATTACATTTACATACATGAAAGCAATTTATTGAATTATTTTGCATATGTAATTAATAATAATCATTATTTGTATGTAGTTTTATTTTGTACAAGAAGGGAGATTATTATTCACATTTTAGTTATAGAATCAGTTAAAATATTTAAATAGAAAACAATTGTAGTAAATTTACAAATATCATACATTTTTATTTAAACCCCTTGTTTATTTTTTATAAATTTTCTCTCAATTTGAAATTACAGATCTTTTTATCTTAAGATTCAGATTCAGATTCTAAATTTATTATCAAAAGATATGGAAATTTACCGACCTATAAACTGAAAAGTATTGCAATTTCAGTAAGTAGGTATCCAGTAGATACTATCCACTAATTGTTTGCTGAGATAATAAACATCTAAATTACATTAATTTAAATATATTAGTGAATCATCTGAATGTTACTAATAGTCACTAAAGAATATGCTGTTGAAGTAAAAAAAAATCAAAATTGATTTAAATTTTACTTCCGAATATTGGCTCGGAAATGCATTGTTGTTAACACTTATCATGAAGTATATTTGCTTTAAATACTTATTGCCGCGGTTTCCAAACTGTGGGACGCTTTCCCTCAGTTGGAAGCAAGGCTGTTGCAGCATACTGCTGTTTCCAAATAAACATACAAATTTCGGAAATGAACAGAATAAATTGAACTCATATAAAGAAAATATGAGAAAATAGTTATTTTTTATGCATATCTTTACATAATATTTCATATTAATTTGTAGTCTGATAATATCAGTTGAGTATTATTGAAATAAAATTGTTAAAGAATCTAAAGGGCGCGCAACAAATTTTTTAATTATCATGGGATGAGGTGTGAAAATGGTTGGAAACCACTGATTTATTGCTACAATAGTAAAATATATAAATAATCATTTTCCAGGCCAAACCGGAGGAACGGGATAGTCCATCCGGCGAAGAAGCTTCTGACACAGCACCCGCGCCCACTTCGAAGCGAAATTCATACCCTACCCAGGCGCAGCTGGCAGCGAATCACATCAATAACCCGACTGGCGCTGGCGGTGCTCCAATTTCTAGTTTCTCCCCCCTGCTCATCTAGTAGTATTTCTTCGACGTCGTCGTCTTCCAATAGTTCATCGTCCGCTTACAGGAAGATAACAGAACTGTTTACCAGAAAATCGACTACACATGAAAAGATACCTGAGGCAAATGAGCGGGAAGATCAGGATAATCCGATAGTGCTTATGCCTCAAGGAAATGCGGTACGTTATGAATTTGTTGTTTTTTATTCCAACTAAAACCTATGATGCTCAGTATGTAACGTATTATCAAGAAACTTATATATTTACATAAAGCTGCTTTTATTCAGATGCTTTTGAGTTAATATTTGTGTTATATATGGAATGCGTTAGGTTACTGAAATATTATTGTCTACCGCAGAAGTATTACAATAGATTATAGCGTATCGCAAATAATCCGATTTATTACATTAATAATAATATAATTCATATTAAAGATTATCTATAATAATAAAATAACTATCATTATATTATGCGTGCGGAATTGTAGTATGTTTATAATTAGATAATACGTTTGTTAATTTCCTGCTTTAATTTTACTCTGACCATATATGTCCAACTGTTATAATTTAGTATCATAGTTCATGAGGATAAATATTATTTGTAACATTTTGAAATTTGAAAATAAGTTTTGGTTCTCTGAAAAGCTGCACTGATTTGTAAGATGGCGATTTTACTTTTCAATATATACAATTTTGCTTCTTTTTAACTTCCTGTAGAGTAAGTTATAGTAATACCAAAAAAATCAAGAATGAATTTTTTGCATAACTTTACGTTTCAAAGGTTTTTGAATATTTTGGTATACCTCAGAAAGAATCTGTGTACGTGTGTGTAGTATATATATATATGCGCGGATACAATTTTTTATCGACGATTTCGAGAACACGGATCAATTGATTTGAATAATTCAAAAATTATTTAGTTTCTATTCATGGGATGACGTGCCGATTAGTTTTTTGCCGAGTCATATCCAATCGTATCGAATATACTGGACAAAAAGTGCCGAAAATAGTAATTCAATTTTTAAGCGAACGGAGTGCCCCATTTGAAAGATTAAAAAAACAATTTACTTGAATTGACGAAATGAAGATCAATTTTCGGGAAGACATGTCTAGCCGTTTTGGAGTTTCAATGAAAAAGTAATAAAAAATGTCCTTTTGCTGTCAATAAAGATCATTAGTCATATGCGCATCTAATTATCAGATGTTTTACATAGATTTTAATAAAAAGTGCAGGTTCTGTTAACATTTCCATGAGTTCTGAATCAAGATTTATAATGATGAACCGTTAGACACCATCGCGCTTCATAATTATCAAAAAAGATAAAAATAATTGGTATTCGTATTTTGCCTTGAGGCAAGTTACATGAACTTCCGGACAGTAAACATATTGATATTTCTTGTAAGAATTCATGTAATTTATTCCAATCATTTAAATTGTTCTGTATGAGTGTCCTCGCATATCCTAGTCAAAGAATGAAAATCTTATGATGAATGCTCCATCTGAGAGCATCGGTGAGGCCCAGCCAAAAGGGTGGATAAATAGTGATTTTTTGCAATATCTAAGAATATTCGTCAAAGACACATGTGCAAACATTCCAAAGAGTGTAGATGGCTACATATATGATCAATGCAGGTTATTTTGAAATGTTCGGTACTAGGTGCCACTGTTTCAAATCATAATCTTTGATAACAAAGTTTGATTGATAGTATTAATTATTTTTTATTAATTATTTTAATTTAGGTTGATTTCTAACTTTGTTATCTAACATAAATCATAATTTAATAAACATTTCGTAAAATATTTTTTTATATGTTTATAAATAACCTTAGGTGTCCGCCACTAGGGGACTTTCCCCTTATTGGTTTAGTATGTTCATTCAGACCAAGTATTCTATCTTTATACCAAGTAAATCGTCTAATTTTAATTTTAACAACCGTCAAAAAAACTACTCATTTTCTCAAACTTCGATGAATTTTTAAAATTAAACTACTTGTCATAAGGACGCAATATTTCAGTAAGTTTTATAAGACCATGTTATATATCGCCAAAAAAGTTCCATAAAAATCGTCTTACTTTTTTTTTTCAACTGTTAATTACAAGAAAATGGCTCGGTAGATTTTCACGGAAAATAATTAGTATCATCTGTCGAACAGTTTTTGATTATTTAAAATCGATTCGTTAGTATGAGCTTAAATGTGGACAAACAATTCAACACTTTTTTCCAAATTACAAAGAAACGGTTCAGCATATCAATTTAAATACATCAAATGGCTTTTAAATTTCTGAAATCGGTTCAGACGTTTTTGAGCAAACGTCGATGTCTAATTTTGACAAACGCCAAGAAAACGATACTAATTTTTGCAAACTTTGTCGAATTTTTAAAATTAAACGACTTGTCGTAGGGCCGTAATATTTTAGTATGATTTATGACTGCGGTACCTACCGTAAAAAAATTTATAAAATTCATCGAAAAAATTTTTATAACACCTTATTATAAGAAAACGACTCGGTCGATCTTTACCAAAACTAATCAGAACGATTCCCAACCAATATTTTTCGAACGGTTTTTGAATTTTCAAAAACGATTCAGATTTGCGGGCTAAAACGTGGACCGGCTTGGCCGATCGACGAACGGCTTGGCCGATCGTTGCACAAAACTGACAAACAATAGTCCTCATCGAGTTACATCGAATGACTTTTAAATTTTTGAAATCGGTCCAGCCGTTTTTGAGAAAACGTCGATTTACGGCAAAAAATCTGTTCACATACACACATTCATACTTTTCCCAAATTAGGTCTCATTTGATTCAGAATGGCTTGAAAGCTCGAGAAATCATAAAATTAGCGAATCGATTTTTTTATGAAAACATAAACTTCGGGAAGTTAAACATGTCATTTGACTGTCAATAATGATCATTAGACATATGTGCATCCAATTATCAGATATTTTATAGAGATTTTAATAAAAAGTTCAAATTCCTTTTACATTTCCATGGGTTCCGTATCAAGATTTATAATTTTTAGCTGTAACACTGCAACGCGGCCCTTATTCGCTTCATAATTATCAAATAAAAAATCAAAATAAGAAAATTTAAAGTTCTCAAAAAACTTTAAAGCGTTTAAAAAGTTTAAGTTGCGGTACTGGAAGTTTACTAGACTTTATATTATTCTTACCAAATATCACATAAAATTTTATTATTTTGATTGCTATTCATATTATCTATAAAAACATTAATATGGTCAATTAATCTATTTGACAGAATTGCAAATGTCCCTCGACGGCTCCTGATCTTGGCAATGGGCAACCTCATCAGCACATGCAATACGCCCCTCAGCCAGGAATGCTGCTACAAACGGGTGCGCACGTGCCTTTGGCAAACAGAACTTCTACGGCATCCGAATCAAGGAAACAGTTTCTATCGTCTCTTGCACCGCTTACGGCTTGTGTCAGCGCTAATCACCATGCCATGGGCAATCACGATGACTATTATTATCAGGTATACATCATTTTATTATAAGTACTATTTGTTATTTAATAATGTATGGTATTGATTTAATTGTTTACTTGAACCTTGTATTGCTGTTTTATATTCAGATATTACTTAAGTAATTGGTTAGCTATTTATTGTTGTATATAATTTTCAATGTAACAGAACACGATTATTAACTTCCCGTAGGGTAAGTTATTTTAATGGGCCGAAAATCGAAATTGAACAGTTGTTTAGATTGAATATTAGTTAAATTTTCTATACAAACCGACAGGATAAAATATATATTGCTTTACGATCTTTTTACTGTAAATATGTTAAACTGATTGGTGTAACAATTAGTTTTTTTTTAAAATTATTAATTAATTTTATTTGAGAACGAGTAACTATGACTGAAATATTTAAGTCTATTTTTTAATTTCCGTAGGGTAGTTATAGTAATGGGCCGAAAATAGAAAATGTTTTTTTTGCATTTCTCTATGTTTTGAAGGTTTCTGAACATTTTGGCATACCTCAGAAAAAATTGATGTGTGTGTGTGTGTTTTGTGTGTCCGCATTTTTTAACTTCCCGTAGGGTAAGTTATTGTAATGGGCCGAAAATCGGAATTGAAAATTTTTACATTTCTCGACGTTTTGAAGGTTTCTGAACATTTTGGCATACCTCAGAAAAAATGGATGTGTGTGTGTGTGTGTGTGTGTATGTGTGTGTGTGTGTATGTATGTGTGGATACAAATTTCCAGTCACGTTTTAGGGCGCACGGATCAACCGATTTGAATGGTTCAAAAAACATTCGATTCCTATTGATAGGGAAAAGAGCTGATTAGTTTTTAGCAAAGGCAGGTCCAGCCGTTTCGGAGATACGGAGCAAAGAGTGCGGAAAATAGAAATCGAATTTTTGAGAGAACGAAGTATCCGATTTGAATGATCTAAAAAACATTCAATTAGTAATGATTGGGAGAAGTGTTTATTAGTTTTTGGCAAAGGCAGGCCCAGCCATCTCAAAGATACGGAGCTAAATATGTAAAAAATGGCAGTTTTTGAGAGAACTAAGCGTCCGATTTGAATGATTCAAAAAACTTTCTGCTTGTCTTAACAAAATAATTGATTTTGGAAAAAAAAATTTTTGTTCGATTTTTTTTTTTTTTTTAGTTTTTTGTTGAAACAAATAATTTCAACTTTGCAATTCAGTTTATATAATTCTTATAAATATTAGACAATGTTACAATATTTATAATAATCTATTTGAAAACATTCAGTATTCCTCGAACATTTCGTTACGGTACGGGAAGTTCCATCAATTTGCCTTAAGGCACGATGCCACCCACCCCACTAGTTCGTTCATGTTTTCGGGCGCCGGAATCAACCGATCATTCAAGGTTTAAAAAACTTTTTGCTTGTGTTGAAATAATTGCTTTTGAAAAAAAAATTATTTAATTTTTTTTTATTGTATTTTTTTTTGAATATCGAAAATGATTGAAATTTCAATGTTAATTTTTGTTAAAGTTCTAAAGCTTACTTATATACTTTAAGTGAATAATTTCAACTTTGCAAATGAGTTTATATAATTCTTATAAATATTAGACAATGTTACAATATTTATATTAATCTATTTGAAAACATTTAATATTCCTCGAACACTTTGTTAGGGTATGGAAAGTTCCAGCAATTTGCCTTAAAGCACGATGCCATACAGATTTAGTTAAGTTTAAGTTTGCTTATAATGCCAGATATTTATTAGTTTGAAATACTTATGGTTGATAGCAGTTTAACTTTACTAATTAATGATTCTTTTTAAATTTTACTATACTTAATTATAACAATTTTAAATTTACTTTATGTGCAATGTAGATTTAAATAGTAAGTGAACTTTGAATAAGAAGCACATTGTATCGTTGCTTTAATATATTGCTTCGATATTTACAAAATTATTTTACAGCTTAACTAACAATAAGTGTTTTCAGCAAACGTTTCTTTAATTGTTACAAACATCGAATAACTTACACTGTGCCCTTACACTTTTTATTACACTTAATAGTATATTTTTGTTTTACTTAGAGTTACTTATTCTAAATAATAATGAATTAGTGTATGAATAAGACAATGAAGTTATTGAATAAAAAATAATTTGTATTTGATATTTTTCATTTTTAGTTAAGTCGACCTGGCGAGCGTGTAAGTGTTGCTAGCAGCGGTACACAATGTTCCGAATATAGTCTTGGAGACATTGATGAAGTGTTGATGAAAACTATTGCGCCTGCTCCCCCTGCTGTTGGCGTTCAACAGCAAGATGGCGAGCAGGTGGCACCTGATGTTATTGCAGGTAAATGTCGATTTTTTATAAAATATGAAATATATCACATATCACATATATAACGAAGTTGATTTGAAAATTCAGCATTAATAAATCAAAAATGAACTTGGTCTTAACAAAAAATTCAATATTAATCTATTTTTTAATACATAATGTTATTCACCACTACATAAATACCCTACTTCACTCATTCTCTACAAATATTCAGTATTTATTTTTCAATTGATAATTTTGGTTTATTCGCAGGAACCCCTGGTACTCCTGGATCTCAAGAATTGCCAATCCAAGATGAATTAGCTGCATTTGTTCAGCAAGATGCTAGTCGTATAGAACGAATAAAGAAACGATACGGTGCAGCAGAATCTATAAATACTAACAACGCAAGTGGATCTGATGATGAGCATGATGACTACGGCTTCAACAGACGTCCATCTGTGCGGGGAATCAAACCTAGGTAAATAGAAATGATTTATTAAATTGATGAGAAATCATGATATTTATTGATACGAAAACTGAACGCCTCATAGTATTTATTGATTCATTGATTTTTCACAAATATTGTCATTTCGATTCTAGTTACGCGTTAAATTTATTATGGCACCGAAAAATGTTGTTCGCTGCCATACTCCTGTATTTGATATTCATGTATTTGATATTGGCTACATTGAGTTATAGAGATGTTTTTTAATTGATGCTAAAAGATGGACTAGATAATATTGCTATATATAATATTGATATTAATTGAGATCATTGACTGCTGCAACCCACATTTAGTTAGAAGCAAGTTGTGTAGAAAAAGGTGTACTTTTGCTACTTCAATTGTTTCTCTAGTGAAAATAAAATAAAATTGATTATTCATTCAACGTTTTTTAATTTGATTTTAGTGTTCTTTGGGTATTTAATTTTTCATTATTTGTTATAATATGTAACTATTTTACTCAAAATATTAAGAACTTACTAACTGATGATATCTGAATCTATTGATGTCATTTTAATATTTGCCTATTTGTCCATTTTGTCCTTTTATAATAGACAATTTTAAATTAACTATAAAAAGTATTTTGAAGCACCAGTTTCACAATATATTCTAAAATTGAAACTTTATTCATGAAATATGCCTTTCCAGATTTGGATCAACTACGGAAATTCTACAACAGATGCAAACTCAGCTACAATCACCGCCGTCTACTTTAACCAAGAATCAACATATACATCCGCCAGCACAGCACCAGCCAATGCCAATTCAAAAACAACTTCCTAATCAACCACTACCGCAACCTGCTGCTGCAAATGTTGCGGCAGCCGCTGCTCAACAACAAGCACAATGGTATTATCATTTCCAAGATCGAGATGGTAATCACAGGCATAGTTATCACCAGGAAGAAAATATGTACCAGAATATCTACGATCGCCATCCACATTACGGTATGCACCATCAACATCCTCATCAGCACCATCCGAATTACACGGCTGCAAGGAGTCCTAGTCGCGGTAGGCCTGAGTCTCCACCTCCTTTGAGAAATTATCACCAAACTATGGTACTGATACCGTATAATAATCAAGAAGCAGGATATGTGCACCAGCCTCATTACTCCACGAATGAAGTACATGCAACGGAAATGAGGATGCATGATAGGACCCAAGATAGGTAAATACTCAACTTATTTACATATCACTGAAAAAAAATTAATATTAGCGTTACTAATATGTAATACTAACATACATATTTTTTGTATATTATTTTATAATAACAAATTATAATTTTAACGTTTTTAGATATAGGCGGTCGTATCCAATGATGGAATATCACCATCATCAACAGCAGTCTCTTATTCACGTTGGCCAACAAATGATTCGTCTTCCCATGCCTAACAATGCTAATGTGCTACCTCCTGGTAATGCCCCAACAGGTAAAAACATTAAAATTTTTAATATATACAAGCGTCACCTATAGTCAGCATCCATATAACGACTTATGTGGACGCCTATAGAAGAAATACTTTGCGTTATGGATGTTTTTAGTTATATTTCTTTATTCAAAATTTGTACTATTAAATCAAAATATAATTTCTAATAATCTTTTTATTTTTTTTTTTCAAAACAGGTTATGCATCACCTAGCCAAGTTCAATTACACTTAGTAACCGGACCTGGCCCTAGACCAGCTTATCCTATGCGATACAGTGGACCCCAGCGACAATATTCCGACTCTCCACCCGGTAGAAATCAGCAGCCTCAATACGCAAATACTGCTGAGCAACAACAGCAACAATATGGAGATCAACCCCATGAGGCTTCAAAATATTCAACGTTGACCAAATACCCTGAACGAGGAGTGCCGGAAGGCGCTGCTGCTATCACCGTTCCTCCTCAGCAAGATGGGTACACGATAACATCCCCGACTGGAGGCAGTCAGACAAACATAGCACCTGCAACAGATTCTTCGGCGCCGGTATTCTATGCGATGAACGTCTGACAGGGACAATAGGTTACGGTGAGCATTGAATTTTATCAGTCTCTGGATGAAAAATCCACGTTGACTTGAGGCGTAGTTCCGTTGCCTTCTATAATTAGAGGCAAGCTGAGGTAGGGCTCAGAAGGTGCGTCGGCGTCAGCCTAATCTGGTTTATAAATTCTTTTGATACTCTCATGATTCGAAGGTCTATAATATATCTTTGTAAAGAATTTTGCGGCAAAGTTGATCTCTAACCAGCAGTCGAAAAGTCAAGTGTCATTTAGACACATGCAAATATATTTGTATTTGTTTGAATGTTACTATATAACTAAGAATCTCTTATTAAAAGTAAGTCGTATATTATCTTTAGGTTGACACTTGACAAAATTGGCGTAAAAGAAGTAATAAAATTACGTCTTAGTAGGGTGTTTGTTACATAGGCGAAAGTTTATATATTTAAATAATATTCAATTATTATAATATGTTTTTTGATATGATATATATATGATATTATTTGCGAAATTAAACAGATGATGTTTATATCATCAACATTAACCTTTTCGCTACGATAGTTGTTTCCAGGAGTGACGCTGCTGTACGGAACGACAAGCTGCCCAGCCGGGTTTTTTTGAATTTTAAAACTTTTCAATCATTATCAATAAAATGTATTTAAAATACATGTGTAAAAGACTAATGGACTGATTCTGCAGCACAGCAGATGTATTTTCTGTGTGTTCCACATATGTTATGAAGCTAGGTCAGAAAGACCCTGTTATCTAAGATCGTTTTTTTGACTTTTGTGCGGTTTCTAGGTTATGTTTTCTAACTGACAATCTGAGAAAAACGCCTGGCTGAAACATTGGTCTGTTGTACGGCAGAATCGGTCCATAAAAATTATAATAGTGATTTAGAATTTTCAGTAGTGATGAATCTTGAAGCAAAGGTCGGCACATTGAATGTCTAAAAGCTACACCCGTACACATGTATATAGTTATGTGGATGTCGCCTATATGCTACGCTCGTAGCGAAAGGGTTAATAATTGGTTTAACCTGAAAGATAAGTTTGATATATAAATATGCGAATGTGCAATGTTTGTCATTATTAACATGTCGTTTCAAGTTTATTCTACGGTATTATTTGCAATTTCATATTATTCAACTGACGCCTAAAATGAAGAGGGAAATTCATAATCAATTAAACGCTAAATTTTTACATAGACTTTCAATTTCGTGCGTATTTCAAACATTCCTAAAAATGTTCAAGAATTGAACCAAACATTACTATACCATTTAAATTAATAATAATACCTCTAATTATTACAAAGATAGCAAAGTATTATCGAGAAGGATTGAATAGGCAATATGTGTTTAAAGAACTCTGTCGTTTGAGCCAAATATAGATGTTATTATTGTAAATATATAGTGAAGTAAATTTTAATAAAAACTATTAAATTACAATACCAAACTCTATAGAGCTAGTCAAATGTAAAGAAGAGTATTTGATCAAATTCTATCAGTATTAAAAAAAATTAAAAATTATTAATATGACAAATTTTATAAGATGTATTAAAAAATCACGTTAATTTTTTACTGATGTTACGAACACCATAGATATGTAGTGGGCTCAAACTGCTTCCAAGTAAATGCACAAAAGTCAGTTATACATATCATATGTGTTGACATGGTAACTGAAAGTCAGTGAATATTTCTTCGCAAACCCAGTACGGTGTAATTAGATATTGATAGTTGTTACAGAAATCTGTATTACTAATTGATACATAATAATGAAATAAATTTCTATTTGTATTAAATTTTCCAGTTTGGGGAAAATAATTTCAATTCCAAGTCTTTATTATATTGCAATTAAATTTTTCTTTCAAACCAAAGTTATATTGCTAATCAAAATTTTATATTTACTCCTATAGCTTTTAGTTATTCGTAATTGAAACACATACCTATTGCGTGTATATCTATTTTATATTGTATATAGGACATATTATTTTTGTTATGTATATACTGTTGTTATATTAATTGATTAATTAGTACTTATTATTTTAGATGCACCAAAACTGCAATTTAATTCCAATTTTAATATTATTGCTCGCATTAAATTATTATTTTATATTATACATATTTTATACGTATTATGTCTATGTATTATTAATCATTTTATTTAATTTAATTTGACAATGGAGCTGTTCGTCTCTAATTGCAAAAAATTATAGATGCGCAACTTTCGTAACAATCTTAAACAGGCTGTTTAACTTACAATGCAAAAATTTTATTGGAGGCACAGTTTTTAAAATAATAATAGTAAGTTTATATACTATTTAGTTTATACTTTAATTTGGTGAGAAATGGGGTTTTTTACTTTGGATTTATATAATATTTATTTATTCTATCCGTTGAGATTTTGGCGACAGAAAGTTACCATCGATAGAACTAGATGCGTCAAATTGTCCATTGATTCTTACATAATAGCTGATTTGCAGGATTATCCTATTGTACAAATATTTTATATTATATAAAATGATCAAAAATGACTTGCAGAAAGAGTAATTTTACCAAAATATGTAGGATTGAATTTTAAAATCTGAAGACATAACTGTTTTTGAAAGCGAACTGGGTACCATACTACAAATCTACTGCCAAAGTATAATTTTTTCCATGCACTTTTTGAAATCTTTCTTGATGCCACTTCAAAAATGAATATTTGCATTTTGTTTCGTAATTTCGTAATTCAAAAATTAGTGAATCATTGAAAAGCGTGGTACGAATATATCCAAGTCTTGAATCCAAAATATGCCAATTCAATCTTAATGAAATCTGATTCAGATTAGGCTAGCATTTGCAATGACTACTCCAAGAGCATTTATATGTGGCGTGCTTTACAGTGGGTAAACTGCTCATATAATTTGTCTTACTTGCTCTTTTCACTTATATAGCACATTTTATCCCTAAAATGTTCTTGAAATATTTTTTATGGCATACGTAAAATTAATTAAAATTAGAGACGAACAACTCCGGCAATTTATATATTGTTATTGTAATAATATCTCGTTATTTGAGGAATAAA